TATTTCTTATTTTTCATATTTGTTCTTTATTTCTTATTATTATTATAAAAGTAATTAAAATCTAAAAATACAGATCTTTTTAAGTTACTTAAGACTAGATTAAGTAAAATAAGTAAAAATAATAGTGTAATTAATACTAATTGTGCATTCACAAGCAATGTACGTGAGCAGCTCGTGGGTAATGTAATTCGATAGTGAAACATGACCTGCACATTCTCTGAGCAATTTACAACTTTTTATGGCTAGGTAAGTAGTCAGACACAGTTCAAAGGACAATAAAACAATAAAATTTATTTATAAATCGATGTATACTGTTATAAACTTAAAGATACTTAGGCTAAGCGAATGGTGTTTCATGTTACAATTTGAAGTCATTCTAAAATGACAAAAAGGTCAATTTACGTTTATTTCTATATATTTTTTGGTGATTACGTGGTCGGTCAAATAGACCAATCCCATTTTGAGATAGGGTAGAGAAAGTAACAGATAAACTATAAACTATGAAAAGAAAAACGTTTGAAAAGGATTTAGGAGGTTTTCAGTATTACACAAAGGAAATTTGAGATAAGGAAAAGTATTTTTCATTTTAACATGAAAAATTACTTTGCACTCAAACTATTCAAAACAAATACTCAATATATTCATGGAGAAATCTTCATTTTATTTTATTAAAAATACTTCACTATGAATTTTGACTTTTTGTATGTAAAAGACTTGTAATAATAACTGAAAGACTGCCAAATTTTGTGAAGATGTATATACACTATATTGAGAGTTATTAGTATTAAATCTATAAATACTTTAAACAAGTACAAAAAGGTTACATGGTCGGTCAAATTGACCAAGAGTGTTAAGATGGAACAGGTTGCCTTCCAATGTTGTGGAGACGGTAAAGTTAAATGAGTCTAAGAGAAAGCTTGATAACTATATGAACGATAAGGGCTGGTTTTGTGTTTTTTTTTACTTAATAGCTTTAGTTTAGTTTAGAGCATGGGATAGCCTAGATGTACCAATAAGTCCTTTGTTGACTCTAAACATTATGTTATGTTAAAAGAAAGAATAATAATAATAATAATATGAACAATTGAGCACTTTTTGTCAGATTTTAAGTTTGTTCCAAGTATCATATAGTTTTTATGATTTCTTTATCCCTTCCATTACGAGCTGAGTGTAATCAACCAAGCTCGTAACCAGGAAAGTATTTATGAGAGTAATTGTACTATAATTTTTGGAAATATATGCAAGTCTTTACAAAATTTTGCTGATTATTAGTAAACATTACAAGGATTTCATACACAAAATATGTGTTTTTTTAATTATGTTTTAAGATTTTTCTATTAAAGATTTGCTCGTGAATTTTTTCTTTCAGAGTGTTGACTATCCAACATACAAAGTATTTTAATTTTAAAATTAAAAATACTTTTCTTTATCTGAAGTTTCACTTGCATAATCTCTATATCCTTCTAGATAATCATCAAACGTTTTTTAAATAAAACTTTATCTTTAATCTGTTATTTTATCAACATTAAATCTGAATGGTGTTGATCAATTTGACTGACCTTGTAACCATCATAAAAATTAATAATCAAAATTATCTTGTTTTGTTCTAGAATAACAGCAAATTGTAATAGGAAACCGCAAATGTTTATTCTAAATAGTTTAAATCTCTTAACAGTATAAATCTATTTATATTTATTAATTTGTTTTATTGACCTTTGAACCATGCCTGACAACAAATACCCTGACAGAAGTTGAAAATTACATGGCACACATGCATCGATATGACCCTATCAAACAGCATAATGCCAAAGCAAAAGCCTAAAATATAAGCCTCTTATCTTCTTAATTTACCGAGATAACAATACTTTGTCAAACCTATCATAGAAGCCCCTCCCCACACTGTCTGACTTTTAACACTGATTGCTGCTCAACCTTATAAGGCTGATAGACATTCTTATAACTAATAGAAAGAGCAGACTATATTATACATAACTCTTACAATGCTTGGTTTGGTTTTGGCAGCAACAGATGTTAGTTGATGGGGACAGGTTGATTTGTATTGATATAATTTGATGTTCAAAACAGTAACAGAATATTTTAACTTATTTCTAGCTTATTTAGTAAGCTGAACAAACTATAGTCATTTTGGGATATTCTGTTCTAGTGACTGATATATTTAATGTGCTCTAAAATACATATTTGAAACTTCGTGAATTTTTTTTTTTGGTCACTCAAGTTTGAGACAAAATTTGACCCATGGAATGTTACTTGAATACAAAACTGCCTTGAGTGTTAGTAAGTACTACAAATGGTTGTTTTGAATGTACATATAAATTTTTTTAGCAAAATGTAGAAATCAAATTTCTAAGCTTAGCTGAACAAAATTTTTCTAAAATATGACACTATCGAGTCACTAGATCACATGCTGTTTACATAACCTCTCTCGGAAACAGTTAACGAGCCGATGCTGTGATTTACTGATTTCAACAAAGGACAAAGTACTCCTGTGGTCCAAAGTATAGACAAAATGAAAAGGAAGCAAAAGTTAAAGGTTTAATGGTTGAAACTGTCAATATAATTTGAAAATTTGAGATAAATTCAAAAGTCAATGATAATGAAAAAAGTTACTATTAATTTTATTCAATATTTTTCAACTTTTAATTTTACTGTATATTGAAGATTTCAATAAAGTTAGTGATAGGATAAAGAAAATATATAGGTTTACCAAAAAAAACTTTTGATATTCATTTAGAAGATTTAAAAGGCTATGCAAATTATGTATGATAACTGTAAGATGAAAATAATTATTCTTGGAGTAAAAATCATCTTTTACTCAGACTGACACAGTAAAGACTTCATAAATTCACATAGATATTTAGTAAAAATACTATATTAAAAAATTGATTTTTGTGTACAATGGATTTAATGTGAAGAAATACTTAGGACTTGCAGTGTTATAGTATGCACAGTGTCAGAACTACAAAGTGGTTGAATGAACACATACAGAGTTAAGGAGTGTTTTATTTCCCCTTCTGAGATTTTAATCAGAACTTGCATAGTACCTAGATAATATAATTCTATAAAAGACTGAGCCTCAACAAGCAAGTTTAACTCTTAGTATCTTTAAAAGTTAGACTTTACTTTGAAGAGCTAAAACATGCTGAATTCTTAAAAAAAACACAAAAAAAACCACAATTTAAGCCTTTTATAACTAAAATGGGGAATTAGGTATCTACAGATTTTGCATCATATCACATTTAATTTTCATTAAAATGACCACATGGTAAAAGAAGGGTTAATATTTTGTTTTGTTTTTTACTGTTAATCCTCTCACTCAATGCAAATTGCAGCCTATTAATTCTAAACAATGCAAACTGAAGCCTGTTATCCCTCTCGCTATAGATTTGGTGGATTACACTGAGTTTCCATACTATAACTTTTAATATGTTTGGGTATCTTCACAAGATTTCAAGCTTTTAATAAACATTATAAGTCTTTTATGAACAAAAATTCAGAATTATTAATGAAACTTTCTTCCTGAAACTTTGTTCATGAATCTATACAGTCAGTGTTGATCGCTTTGAATGAAAAGTGATTTTCGTATTAAGATTAAAAATACTTTTCTTTATTTGAAAATTTTTAAATTTCATTTATGTTATCACTAGAACTGCCTAAATTAATATGAAACATTTTTCTTCAGAAAAACTTTGTATGAACAAAGAATACACATGAAAAACAAGAAATATAGCCCTTACTTGGGTGTTATTTTTTGCACTCAACTGTCAATGAAACTTAAGCCACTTTTTTTTTAAGTACTAATGGTACAAAAACATTAAATCATTTTAATTTCATTAAATAATGCACCGAATAACACAGAATAACAACACACAGAAAGCAAACCATCTCCTATGACTATCATAACTTTTCTGGCTTCCTAACTGTAATTCCCATGTGATTCGGACTGAATGTAAAATGGACAATTCTCTGTGCAGTAAACAATGTAATATAATATGTCACATAATAGATTAATGCTTTGGCTTTCTACTGGTAATAATTAATATAGTATAAAATGTCAGAGACAACTATTGGTAATTTGTGAAACAGAAGATGTGACTGGTAAGCATAACAAGTGGGTTTGATTTTCTAGTTTATGGCCCTGTAAACAAACAAGATTAAAGGCTATAAAATATGCTTTGCCTGTGTAATATTTATATTATAATAAATAATTTATGTTAAATTCCATACTTCTCAGAGGGGTGGTAAAAAAATTAGAAAGGAAGAAAACCTAGAGAACAAATGTCACAGTTCACACACTAGAGGATATTATGAATTTAAAAAATATTTCGTTATAAAATCAAAAATTTAAAACTTGTATAATATTAAAATTTGTTTTATTTATTATGTTTTGATGCTAAGTGTATTCATATACAACAAAAATAAAGTAGTTTAATTAAATTTTGAATGTAACTCTCTAAAACCTCATAACATTCGTGCTTCTACCTGCCTGTAGGGAAAGGGTTAAATATTTTATTATGTTTAGATAACTGAATAATAGTAAATTAGTATACTGGTGTAACATTTTTGTCTGCATCTGCTACAAAAAGTGGCAAGGTAACAGATAATAGGTAACATAATAACATAATAGGTAGGAAGAAGAAGACAGACCAATACTCAGTTGAAACATGTAGTATGTTCCATCACCAATAACTCTTCCTTTTGCTTATGTGTCATTGTTTGCATACCTATTATTATGTTAGCATAATGTGTTTCCTTGCTCAAGTATTTATTAACATAATTCAATACTATAAAATTAACATTACTTTGAAAATGAAATTTAAAATTTAAGTAATTTAAGAGAACACAAATGTTCAAAAACTTTTGTTAGAGGACATTACAAACTGAAAAATCAATAAAATGAAAAATTCTGTATTAAAATATCCTCCAAAACCAAATGAATTAATAATACACATATAATCTAATATTAATTTTTACACTTTTACCTCAGTGTTTTCTAATCTCATATCCACTGTTCTGTTTCTCAAGTCCCATAAGACTACAGTTCCTGTTTCAAATGCTATCAAGAGCTATTGGGAAAGGAATCAATCAATTACATCTCATCAAGTATCAGAAAATACTGTATAATTACTGTATTAACATATAAAAAAAATAGTTATTTTTTCAAGTGACCTATCAATATTATAATCAAGATATTCAAATTCACTGAAAGTCTTATGCACGAATCACAGTTAGAGACACTAGGTGTGGTTTTGGTTGTGGCTAGAATTTCTGAGCATAAGCATACACTTTTAGCAGTTTTAATATTTCACAACATAGGCCCTACATAACAAGTTTCTAAGATACTTAATAATTGTATGACTGACTTAACAATCATCAAGAGAAAAGGGACGAAAGTGCCAGGTGAATCAACTGGTGAATACAAGTCATAAGGGTAATGGGAGAAAGATCACTGGAGTGATTAGGAGTCCAAGGAATATACAAATATACAAAAGCAGTGAATTTCCTATACCACTGGAGAGCTTTGAGGAGCAAAGGAGGCAGTCAGGATTGGAACAGTTATGAAGGTGGAATATGGAAGAAGGGAAATGGGTGTGAATGCAGAACTACCCTCTCGAGTAGTCAAAGTTTTGGGCATAAAGTAATAACCTGGAAAGAGAATAACATAGAAACTATGAAACAAAAACATTGTGGACAACAATCATGAACACAACTGAACAACATCTGCACCCCAATAGAAGCAAAAAAAAAAGGACTTCAAGGAAGGCGATATAATAAGCACAAAGACAAAAGAAGAATGGGTAAGAGCATGCAGGATCACCTCGAGTGAAGCAGGGTGAGGAGAATAGGAAATATAGATGAAACAAAACAACATGGAAAGACTGGTTACCAGAAGACACCAGCCTATTTGTAACCCTAAAATCTGGCTGATAAATCTGCCCTATAGTTCGCTACAGAGGAAACCCAAAGGTCCCGGTAAAAAAACACCAAGCCACAAATAGATGCTAATTGAAGAACATTAGGAAGCAAAAGATGATAATCACATCAGACAAACTGACAGTGGTATGTGTACCAATGGTGGAGGAAGGATGGACAAGATGGGAAGATAAGAAAGCCACAAAATGCAAATGTCCAGCCCTTCTGATGAAGGACTGGACAAAAGCCATGCACAAAGATGGAGTGTGGGAATGGGCAGATGATGTACCCTCAATTAGTAGCATCAAAGATTAAAAAAGGGGGTCAACACCAAAAGCCAATGCATCAGTGGAAACCACGTTTGAACCAGTCAATATGGAATCACCAACAGAACACAACACAGAGTGGTCTGAATTATGGCAAAGACACATGGGAGAAGATGAACTGGAAGATGTGCATATAGGTACCAATCCATACAATCCAGACAGAAAGCACCTTCTGCCCTAGCCAAAGGAGCTCAAATTGGGGAATCTATGTATTGAAATGATTAGCAAGACTGCAAGACTGTTTAGATATGGGACACCTCACTGAGCACCCAACCCTCAATAACTTGGGATCAAAAAAACACTCTGTTGGTAGAATCTTGTCGGGATAAGACAACTGAACCACAAAGAATATATGTCAAACAAGTAACATGATGGCAGAGTGTACAATGTAGGCGATTCAAAATTTGAAAACTGAGGTCTCTTGACTGAGTGTCCCCTTGCCTAGAGATTTACAAGACTATTATAGACTTTTCAGAGGGTACCACCACCAAATGGTCCTGAAAAACCTCACAGGAAGTGAAGTAAAGCTCAAGAAACCACAAGGAGATCTAAGATTAATATGGAAAGAGGACTCGGAAAATGTCCATCTCCTCAAAACCTCCTGAGTGTCAAGGCATGCCATTCCCAACTGGAAAAAGAAGCATCATAAAGGTGACATACCAGACAAGGAGGGAGAACACCCACAGTAGTGCTGTCCTGATCCAAACATTAAGCAGAGTCTATCCAATCCCCTGTCTTGCAAGGAACAGCAAACAGACAAAGAAAACCCACGATGAGAAGGACTACCTCAACTGATGGCACAATTATGAAGTAAATCTCAAACTGCCTCCAAAAGACTCCAGCATGACAATGGGGGTTCCATAAATGGAATTGGAGGCCCAGGCCCTCTGAAAAGACACTCAGAACCCCCAGTTTCCATAGCAAAGAACCACCAAATGTGGACAAAGTGAGATAGTTTGGCCCACAGGACTTGACTTGAAAACTTAATGACCACTGCTGGATGCCCCGAAAATGACACCTGACAAGATACCAACAGCGAGTTACCAAAGCCCAAGAAACTGCAACCTGTAAGGGAAAAGGTAACTGAAAAATTTGGTCTAATCCCCACAAAGGAATAAGTGACTCTAAATACTGTGAGGCTAAATAATGGAAGCTGGAACAGTGATAAGCGAAAGCAAAATAGACTATTGTTAATGGGGGTCAAGGCATACTGACCCCTAAAAACAGTTGCTTCCTCACAATGACTTGCATGAACCCCAATATCAAGGGATGGAGTAAACATGAAATACTGATACAAAGGCTAGTCCTCGAGTAGGGCAGGAGTGGAACCATAGGAAACAAGAGATAAGGACAGAACATAACATACCTGATTAATCAAATCCACAAAAGGTGAAGGAGGCTGCAATGACACACGGCTGATAGGAACATTCAGAAGAGGGGAAATGGCTGTACAAATCTGTCTCTTCCCAACCAATCAAACCTTGAGCAGGTATGATAGGACCATCCACAGTTTGTTCTAAATGTTTTGGCACATTTGGAGGATTGTGTACAGTCTTAGGCTCCTTACCTTATAAAGGACATTGAATTGTTGGAAAGAGTTCACAGCAGGTTTTCTAAAATGGTGCCTGGGATGGAAAGGTTGAAATCTCTCAAATTGTTTTCTCTTCAAAAAATAAGAGTTAGACGTGATCAGTTTAAGATTCTAAAAGGAATTGATGGTGTTGATACATCATCTTTATTCATACTTAGCACTAGAACTAGGGGACACAAGTATAAATTTTGGCAGAGTAGGAATCATTTTCATCAAAGACAGTTTTATTTTTCTAACAGAGTGGTTGGATTTTGGAATAGGTTGCCTTTGTATGTTGTGGAGGCAGCAAATTTAAGTGAGTTTAAGAGAAAACTTGATAAGTATATGAATGACAAGGGCTGGGTTTAAGATTTTTTTTTTTATAATAGATTTGGTTTAAAGGATGAGACAGCCAAGATGGACCAACAGGTCACATGTTGTTCCAAAATATTATGTTATGAAATTAGTCAATTCTTGACACACCATAGCTGTCACTTCATGCAACTGATTTAGAAAAGAAGTTGAAAGGCCTGAAAACCATGAAAATAAACATTTTTGCATAACTTAATCAAAACCACAAGCAAAAAACACATCCGTATAAAAGATTGCCAATCAAAAAGTGGTTAACAGCTGCAAGATTAGAGAGAGTGCTAGTTATGATAGGGATAGTGTTGCAGTCCTATTGGTGGAGGGTTGCTGCATAATCCTTTATATATTAGTATGCAGATAGTTCACGATAATATACATGAGGGTAAGTGGGAATATCAAGGCTAGTGAGAATTTTCTCCGAGGGCAGTACAAGTTGAGAAAAGCTTTTTTTGAGTAGAGGAAAGATATTGTCTTGGAATACGCTTATACACTTAAGCAAAATATATTTATAAACATTACACTATTACTAAAATACTTAACACCTATGTAGCTTAATTTTAATGAATGATTCAACTATAAGTGATTTCATTAAAGCATTCCAATTATTGTTTCAACATAGAAATTTACTTGTGAAACTTTCATATTTCATCTTTATTTCCAAAGTTAATCAATAATTTGTAATTTTAAGTATCATTTACATAAGTGTCGCACTATGGTTAGCCGATGTAAACACAATTCAGGAAACTTTTTTTATTCTTCTTTCTCAATACTGATCTAAAATATATGTTTATCATTATACAATTACCTGTAGTTAAAACTGATGTTCTGAAAAGTACTAAGCAAATAACAGTGCTAAAGGACAGAAAAGGATGATAATTCACTAAAATAAATTATATGTGAAAATGTAAAGACATGCAAAAAAGATGTTTTAAGATTATTTTACCAAATATTAAAAGGTATGTACATTTTTCCTATATCTTAATTTTACACATTTCACTGTAATGTACTATAGACTAAAGTATAAGTTGACAGTAATAACAACAGTTAGCCAGTGGTTACCTTTTCTTTATACTTTGCAAAAACAAAATTTAACAATCATTTGGCTCAAGTTTCCCTGATGTCACTATCAATGACCACCAGACTGTTCTGTTTAGAGAACATTCCACTTCTTAAAGCTAAGACAACAGAAATTCAAAATACACTAGCATTTAATACCTTAATCTAATAATGTACATATTTGTTGGAGCAATAATCTTCAGGTTTACTTTGCACAGGCCAAACCCATCAAAAAAAATTAAATCCAAAACTGCTCACACTTGTAAAATTTGGGTAAAATCTCATTTATTTCCAAATTATAAAGACTACTGTTAATGTGTTCAAAAATTAATAAACCAAAACTTCCACAGAAAACTTGCTAATGTAGGCAATAATGACCATATGCCAAGAACACTTACTACTGCTTGGTCTGTGACAAGGATTGGGTCACTTTGTATATTATATTACTTCTTACATTTGTTATATAGTGTGTCACTTATAACTTCATTTAAGTAGTTTTCATGTAAATATTCACTTTAAGATGAGCAAGTAATACTGAGATTTTGGAAAAATTAAGGTTTTTAGGACATAAAAAACTTGCAATTCTTTCCAAAAAAATTTAGGGATTTACTGTTAGGTGCATAATGTTGTGTAAAAGGATACATACCATACATGCAATGAATGATAAAGAGAAGTTACCAGTGTTTGTTAACCAGTACATACAGATATTTAGCTTGGTTTAAAAAACTGAATTCACACCTGTAGTATTTTAAGTCATTGTGATTTAAAGTTAGAATGCCTTGCTTACTGAATATGGTTTGGACAGTAATACTATAGAATCATCACTAATGTCAAAGATAAAACATAATCAAAAATGTTCAATGTGATATATGATGGGCCTTTCTGTTTAATAAAAAGAAATGCAAATTCATTGTATGTTTAACAAGTCCAAGTATTAAGATCAGAATGATCCTGCAAGCAACACTGTTGAGAATTTCTACATAAACCTGTTTACATCCCATATCTTCCCAATGAAGCTTAGCCTTATTGTTCCAAATGTGTTACATCAAAGTATATTTCAGCCCAAAAATTCAATTAAAGACAAACACAAGTGTAATCTCTGCCATTAAAACTTTAAAAATATATGTTACCTTATTTGCATCTACAGGGTTTTCACTCAGATGAACAACACATCCAGGGTGAGTTTTCTGAGATCTAAAAAAAAAAACAAATAACAGTAGGTAGTGTGTAAGCAAAAATCTGTAAAACTTTTTTAAAGCACAACTAATTTTGACAAAAAGCAAAATGCTTTTATATTAAATGTGTGTGTGTCAAAGAAACATAAAATGTTCACAACACAAAGCCAATTTAACTATCTTTAGCCATGGCATTGCAGCTTCTAGAATGGCTCAGTTTTTTTTTTTTCAAGTACAAACATTTTGCTCATAGCTCCATCTCTCGACAGATTTCAAATCTAGTTACAGCTGCAGCTATGGAGTATTCCCTCTTGTTTAAATTTATTTTTAAAACCTGATATCCTTTTAATCTGAAACTGATAGAATAAAAACAGTATGTCTAACAGTTTAAAATGGAATATAAAATTCAATACCATTCTGTAGTTAAAATAACCAAATTCTAATTTATTTACAATCACAAAGTTTTGGAAAAGTACAAATAAAAAGTAAACTATGTTACAGTGCACTAAATATTTCTCACTAACTCGAGATGCAAAATGAACTATGTACCACAAATATAAACATAATTTTTGGTCCTTGTACATCAAAATGTAATTGCAAATACCACAAAACACATAAAAAGTCCACACGAATGTCAATAAAAATATTTAAACACTTAAAAAAGAATACGAAACTATTAAAAGAGTTCATAAAAATAATACTTAAAAGAAAAATATTAATACTTATTTGAAATATTTAAATACACATTAACTAAGACTTTCTGAAACTTGTATTTACAAATATGCAATTTTAATGTTCATTCATATAAGAATTATTTAAACTCTTGTTGTTTGTTACTACAGTAAAAAAATAAATAAAACATACAAACAGAGGAATTAATTCACCGATTGAATCTAACAAGTCACAATGTCTAATATTTCATGTGAATTCTCTCAACATGCTTGTATACAAATTTATGCATGTATACATATTTCGATCTTCAACATGAAAAACAGAAAACAAATATCACAAATTAAAGACTTGAACATGAGATTGACAGCTGAAAATGCAACTTCAAACTTGTTTGCTTTCTGATGTTTTTTACTAAAAAAAGTGAAATAGTTGGCAAACATCAAGTCATATTTGTTTTATATCTAAAGAGGCAAAGAAGAGGAGGAGGGTAAATTGCATTCTGGAAGTACAATGTATGGAAGGATTTTCGAAATAGATTTTTATTCTATAACAAAAATATTTACAGAAACCAAGTTTCTAACATACATATGATAAAACTGACATTCCTTAGTTGTGAAAGAGAACATTGGAAACATTATTTTACAATAACAATAATTTTATGTGATTACGATGTTTAAATAAATTTTAAAGGAACATGACATTTCATATAGTTCAAAGACAAACAAATTAGAATAATAAGACATGTACATCTATACTTCAAGAATACCAGAAAGTATATATATATGTATGCAAATACATTATATTTTGTAAGTTCTTTCCATACAATTTTGGCATAATGGTTTGATAAGTAAATTTCAAAGACTAAAAAACCAAAAGTTTCAAAATAAATTGCATGACTTAAGAAAATGTAAATATCAATTTTAACACAGTACTTAAATATTACTTGCCATACACTACTATCTTTAGTTTATTACTTTTCAAGTTTCTCAAGTCCTTAGAAATACTTTAAACCTAACCTACCTGTCAATAAGAATGGCAATGTAATATAATTAAATCAACATCTACAATTCATTTGAAACTTACATTTTGATGGCTTTATTCCAATGTATGACATATCCAGAAAGAATAAATGACTCGATGTTCACAGTATAAACATTTCCTCGTTCTGTACCAATGTACAACCATTTACTTTGAAATGGCAAATGACAATATGTAATTCTGTCAAAAATAAAAACAAAAAAAACTATAAATGGCTTTCTAATTTGAAAATAATTTTCCCTGAAATGGTTCATTTTATATCAAACATCTAAGTATTTAAAACTAATTTTACCAAAGATTATGATTAAATTCTTTTTACAGAAAGAAGAGAAAATAGCTATATGCTGAACATTTTTTACAGATTGCTAACCTTTCTCGTTGAAACTTGAGCGAGTGAAGAATTTCTGGTCTTTTCTGTCGCAAGTTCCATAAGTGTAAAGTATCATCAGAACATACACTGATCAAACCACCCTAGGAAAATAAAGGATTTTTTACATTTTCTAATACCGCTTATTCTTCCACCATCATTAGTCCGACTTGGCAGACCATCCAACAACTCTGAGGTTAACTTAACCTTACCATCTGCCTATAACTTCAGACCTAATCCCCAAATCTCTCTCTCTCTCTTGATTGGTCGAAAAGCTCAATAACTTGTGACCTAGCAGAAAGTTTACAATAAACAGAAATGTCGGAAAACCAACTAACTTTGATTTCACTCTTAACATTTGCATCATATAAAACAAAAGGAAAAACTAAAGATTTTGACATTTCACAAAAGATGTTTTACCACTGTGGTATATTTTATTCATCGTAAGAAATTACTTCAACACATTTGAAGTACTTCCCACACTGGCAGGTTACAATTGTATGTGTAGTTTTGTTTTTCTAAAATACAATCTTAGAGCTTCAATTCTTCACAAAGAGTCTACACATTCTTAGATGTTACATGCATAATTCTATGCTGTATTCTTCATAATCAGTAAGTTTCATCGCCAGTCATACATTAAAAATGTTTCTGCAAAGAATAAATGTATAATAACAAGAAACTTAAAAACAATTATATGTGCAACTTCTTTCAAAAGCAAGTACTCAACAGTACTAATATAAACTGTTGTGGGCAGCATACAAGCTAAAGTTACACATAAAATCTAAAACTAACAATACAGAGTTAAACAATTTTGTCAATATAATGCATCTGTTACAATTAATACATTATATAATACCTAAGGAAAATTTTGTTATATGTAAGAACAAAGATGTTTCAACACGTAAAATTTGGAATTGACTATCTTCATTTCTGAAGAAACCCTTTCAAAAATATTATGTACCTCATTGATAAGAAATAAAATCTGAATGACTGCCGAATCAATAAAATGGTGGACGTGGCAATCAACTCCTGGTTTTCCAAGTCTGATTGGTCATGATTAAGGATTTTTATAATACTCCAATATCATCTACTTGTCAAAACTGAAAATCGAAGTTATGAACTAAAAGGAAACACCAAATGTATTTTTGAATTTGAAAAAATATATGTATATATTTGAAACTATATTGTAATTTTAGTAACATTACTGCTCATTAAGCTTTTTTTAATACAGTTTGTATGATGGTAAATACTAAAAAATATATAAATAAATATACAAACCAACGTAAGAAACTATTTCCAATTGACAAAGAATAAAAACAAATCATCTGATGTATACAACTTATTTGACTACCACATAGATTTATTAAGTAACTCTATGGCTTTCTGTACACATGTGCAATACAATGCGTATTTAGTATAATTATAAATATTTCAGAAACTTTGGTTCAAAAACTCTCTCTTCACCTTTCTTCCAAGGAATAACTTGGAAATATCACTGAACAACATCAAAAGGATATTTCTCCCATACATCAAGGAATAACTTGGACATATCACTGAACAACATCAAAAGGATATTTCTCCCATACATCAAGGAATAACTTGGACATATCACTGAACAACATCAAAAGGATATTTCTCCCATACATCAAGGAATAACTTGGACATATCACTGAACAACGTCAAAAGGATATTTCTCCCATACATCAAGGAATACCTTGGACATATCACTGAACAACATCAAAAGGATATTTCTCCCATACATCAAGGAATAACTTTGACATGTTATAACCCACATCAAAAGGATATTTCTCCCGCATATCAAGGAATAATTTGAACATGTCATAATCCAAGTCAAAAAAGATATTTCTTCTACACATCAAGGAATAATTTAGACATGCCAGTGATCCATGTCAAAAAGATATTACTATTACACATCAAAAAAATATTTTCCTATACATCATGTTATGAAAGAATAAACAACTACATACATATTAAATGAGATGTCAGGCTTTTCTTTGTGAGATAAACATAAACCTTGTAATGTCACACAGTTAAGAGTAATCTTTATCTGCCTTAGAAGTGTTTTGGATAATGTTTCAAACTGCTGGCACAAATCTTTTTCAGGTCAAACTAGCTAAGTGAAATATTGATGATATGCACTTCAATTAAGAATTATGCAAGTGGAATCCAGAAATTCATAAAATATGTTGAGCTGAAATAAGGAAAGACTAAAACATGGAAGAACATGACTGGAGTACAGAGCTCCAAGTCTTGGGTGAGATGAGTGATGCCACAAAAACGTAATTAATGTTTGTGTGGATGCATGGCTTAATGCTTCTACTGTTAGTTGTAGGAACAAAAATGAGTACATACCAGAAAAAAAATCCAAGCTATGACCACAGTACATGGATAGTTGATATATTTTAATGTAAAAGATTTCTTTAACCCACTGACTGGTGATTCACCATATAGGATACAGTCATACCTCTGGTAGTTGATTGTGTGTGCTATATACAGTGTATACCTCACAAAAAGTCTGCACATAATTAAAGCAGCCATAGCCTGGTCTTCTATTACTGAAAGGAGTCATATATTTGTCACTGGTTGTAATTGATAATATGTACAATGTTATGGTTGTTTTCTGGAAGTGCCAATTTCTTCTGAATATGGGAGTCAGGTGGCATCTTAGAGTTTCTTTACTCTTTGTTTTTATTTGTCCTACTGGTCCTTCCAATACAAATTTCAACATGAGCATGGAATCTTGTAGACAATGTTTATACTTCATCTGTCAAGCTTTTGGTTTTGTTCAGCACATTTGTTAGGGTTTCATTAGATCTGAAGTACTGTGAATACTGAAATTCCTGCATATCCTTTTGAGTTTGTAACTGAGTTTGGAATTAATGGAAGAATGATGGTTTTCAGGGCTTTTGTCTCTAGATCAAAAATGGTAGAATTTCTTCTACAGGACTGAATGAAACTGTTAGGACAACCATTCATTTAGAAAACTTCATCAAGGATTTTTTTTTTTCAAAGTTGATTGTCATCACAAATCTTATGGACTTAGTTAAAAAAAAAAGACAGTTTATGATCCTTTTTTAATGTAGTGTATATGGTTAGACTTGAAATGTAGATATATGTTGACATGAGTGGGTTTCCTGTAGAGTGATGTAGTGCAATGATGTTCATATTAGTATCTAATAAAGGAATGGGACTTTTTTATTTGGCTTGCATAGTAAACTGGATGTTCTATTCAGGAAAACTGCAATGTCAAAGGATATGAGGCTAAATGCCAAATGTATCATCTTTTTCACAGGAATGTTTTTAATGTGTCAGAATTCAAGGTTTTGGATTTGAAAGCTTCCATATATTGGTCCTATGTATTGGGGTGAGATGACACCCAATGGATATGCCATGTGTTTATTCAAAGAAGAAATCTTAAAACTGGAAATAGATTTTGTCAGTGCAACATGTCAGTAGATCTATTGTGGCTATTACACTTTTGTACAACAAGTAAGATCACCTGTGATGTCAGAACAAACAAGTTGATCCTCTAGTTGTACGTTCAACAAGTAAGATTAGCTGTGATGTCAGAACAAACAAGTTGATCCTATAGATGTAGGTTCAACAAGTAAGATTAGCTGTGATGTCAGAACAAACAAGTTGATCCTATAGATGTAGGTTCAACAAGTAAGATTAGCTGAGATGTCAGAACAAATAAGTTGATCCTATAGATGTAGGTTCAACAAGTAAGATTAGCTGTCATGTCAGAACGAACAGGTTGATCCTATAGATGTAGGTTCAACAAGTAAGATTAGCTGTGATGTCAGAACAAACAGGTTGATCCTATAGATGTAGGATTCAACAAGTAAGATTAGCTGTGATGTCAGAACAAACAAGTTGATCCTATAGATGTAGGTTCAACAAGTAGGATTAGCTGTGATGTAAGAACAAACAAGTTGATCTTCTGGATTCTGTAGGTTCAAATCTTTCATTTCTTGATCTAGAGTGGTAGAGTTTATCCTGCAATTTTCTTGCTTGTTTCTGTGCATACAGAATGGTAGTTAGGTGTTTACCTGGTTAGAGAAATGGTCAACTTATGGTACTGATAACAAGTAAGAGAGAAATTTCTGGTTTGTGTAACTTGGCTAGACCCTACAATTATGGTGGCTTACTATTGGAGATGATTTTTTTGTGTTTAAATTTGTTGATTAGTAATATATTCTGGTTTTTGAGTTGAGTCTCTCTTCAACGGATTATAAGATAATGGCTTAAAATGTTTTATGGTTGTGTAATTTCTTTAATACAACAGTCTTGTTATCTTTGTTTACAGGAAGAATGATGATTGACAGGTCTCTATTTACAGTTTCTAATTGCTTTTTCTTCTTAAGTAAATGCAATGTGTGGGAGTATCCAATTACATACACAACTGGTCTCAACAAAATTATTAGTAGTAATATTTTTATGCTAATTTTTAAAACTTATGTTTTAAATTTGTACTTTAAGAAATAAATAATATTCTCCAATACTCATAGCTGCGAGCCACCCTACCAACTGTGGCAAAATATTTTAGCACTTGTTACCTTTGATTTTTTTATGTACTTCACTAATTTTCACTATGTAATTTCTTAGCACTTATCATGTACATAAATTATAATAATGCCAGTCATAAAAAATAATATGCACAACTTTTTCCATAACTGTGGACATGGCCTAGAAGTTACCATGGTGAACCTAAGAGCCCAGAGTTTGACACTTGATGCTGCTGAAAACATTTCATATTTTCAGCTGCAAGCCCATCATAAAAGTGATAGTCAATCCTATCATTCCTTTCAAAAACCACACAAAACCCTTGTTGCAGTAGGTGCTGCCCTCTCTTTGGCAAATAGTTTCAATTATGTCGGAACAATAATGGTCTATGTTTTATATAGGCCAAGTGCACATAAGATGCCACTCATGCTGTGAAAATTTCAACTTCATAATTCTCTTCAAAATATTTTTCTGAATCTTCATATTTTAATACACAAACTTAGTTTCCAGTTTTTAGAACTACTATCAAAAATTTTATTTCATCAGTGTTTTAACAGTTTCTAATATTGTATTTGAAATTCTTGTATTTATTGAGATCACATTTGCCAAGAAATGAACAGTATATTGGTCTTTGTAATGAATGTTTCATTAGACAATGTTGTTGTTGTTATATTTGTAGATATACACAAAGTCTAATCAGTCTGGTTGGAATATGTATACAAGTTCATTAGTATGATTGTGCATCTTCTAGAGAATGGATGCTGTATGTAACACAAGTCCACAGCTTGATAAGTATGGTTTATAAAAATGACTTGGGTTATAATACTGAAAGCATTTTCAAGCTTTCTCATCCCCTTCTAATGAACACGATTAAAGACATGCATCAAATCCTAGCTGATGATACAGTCACTGTTAATGTTGTATCACAAACTTCCCTTACCATACTTTCTT